CAGCTGGTCATTTGCATCCTTTGAGAGGGTCATTGAGGCCACTTGGAATTTTATCTGTGTCCTCAGGGTCATCTGAGTAGTGCAAATGCCCCCTGTAGTCTGGACTTTTCCCTCTGAAAATCCATTCACACTCCCACACCATCCCAAGCGTGTTCATCCCAAATTGTATAGCTACAATTTGGGACATCCCTGACCTGGATGACTGAGGATCTACAGATGTTGGGTTGGCCCAATTGGGGACCCACAAAGTGACCTGATGGTGGTGTGGATGGTGTTAGCGATGATGGTTAGGTTGGTGGTGAGAATGTTGGGATGAGCTTGCCGGAAAGTGAACTTGGTGATAAGGATGACTGGAGAGGTTCAGTGTCTTGGTTGGCCCACTTGGCGTGCCCCACTGGAATGTTGAGCTGATGATGGTGGGGTTGGTCATGAAAGTGAACCTGGTCATGGTGGTGACAACCGGAGATGTTCGGTGCTCTGGTTGGCCCCGTTGATGTGCCTACCGGAAAGGTGACCTGATGATAATGCTGGGAAAGGCATAGGAGAAATGGGAAAAGGTGTGCTGCTCGTTCAACCAGAAGCAGATGGATCTCAATGATCTCCATCTCAGCACCTCCTTGATGGCATGTTATGAGTCACTCAAGGCTGCTCAAAGCAAGAAGGCCCTAATAAGAAGGGAGATTAATCAATAATGTTATCCAGTAAATGTCATGAGGAGATGCTGAGATGAAATTCTGTCAGGGGGAATTTTGTCAGGGTCGAGAAGAAGGTGGTTATAGTTGTAGCAAGGAAGGCTTGGTTTCCCAAAGGTGCTTTTTCAGGAGGCAACTGGACTTGTTTTTTTTTCTTTTGAAGACCTTTCGCTTCTCATCCAAGAAACTTCTTCAGCTCTGATGGGACAGTGGGGAACGGAAGGATTTATATTCCTTGCAGACAGCTGGTCATTTGCATCCTTTTAGAGAGTCCTTGAGGCCACCTGGAGATTTACGTGTGTCCTTAGGGTGACCTGAGTGGTGCTCCTGGTTCCTGTAGTCTGCAATTTTCGGACACAGGACACAGATAAACCTCCAAGTGCCTCAACGACCCTCCAAAAGGATGCAAATGACCAGCTGTCTGCAAGGAGTGTAAATCCTTCCATTCCCCACCATCCAATCAGAGCTGAAGAAGCTTCTTGGATGAGAAGTGAAACGTCTTCAAAAGAAAAAAACAAGAAAGTCCAGTTGCCTCCTTAAAAAGCATCTTTGGGACAACCAGGACCTGGAGGACAGAGAATCTCTACAGACTTTTAAGTCTTTCTCATGGATGTCCTTCTGGGCTTGTCCATGTTCCCTCTTGCACCCGAGACTTTCTGTGAGTGAACTGTGGCACTTTTCCTTCCCTTTTGGATGGAGAAGACTACCCAAAACCAAAGGAAGACCAGAGAATTTAAGAGATCCTTTTTCGGCTTAACCTTCATTGGCCAAACATTCTTTCCCGGATCTTTCTGTCCTTCCTGGCAATAGGTTCTTTGCTGCTTCACAGCTCCTCAACTGTTGGGAGCACATGGCAGGAACTTCTCCCTTGGCTGGTACGGCTTCAAAGTCCATTGTATGATTCATAAATACCTTCCTGCGGCATCCTTTGGTCGCTTTCTCTTTTAATTGTGGGGGCAAGGCAAGTCCAACCTATTGGTAGATCCCTGGCTGGCTAAGGAATTCTGGGAGTTGAAGTCCACAAGTCTTCAATGTTGCTAAGGTTGCTTTAGAAGAATGGATTGCTTTCACTTAAAGGACTTAAAATTTATAGGATGCAAAGAGTCTTTTTATGTTTTGCCTTTCCAGTTTTTCTCCAGACTGACGGAGCGATTTGTATACGGAGTGGACCTTCTCGTTGATACATTCTGGAGAATATGGACAGATCTTCTAGATGTCCTCGGAATTGATGGTAGGTGGGCAAAAGAGTAGTTGGGGGGCGGTTCTTGTGTTCCCCGAGCTTACTTTGATTTTATTTCTTTTTATTTGATTATTGAATTTTTATGTGCCATCTACCTCACTGGCAAGAACTTAGGACAACTTGATTGTCGCTTTGAATGTACACTGATCGGCAGACATTAAAATGAAATTTTGTTGCATGCAGTTCTCAAAGAGTCTCCACCTCTAATATGCACTACATAAATATGACAAAATGTTTTCCCGAAAATACAACCTATCCTGAAATTAAGTCCTAGCTTGATTTTTACATGTGTGCTCAGTATATATATGCCCTACTACTTACCTTTGGACAGTTGTAGCCAGGCCTCACACACCCCGACACCTGCCTTGCCGGCACATTTCTTCTGCCGCTGGCAAGGCTGGCAAGGCTTTCCTGAAGGCCTCTGCAGCTGGTACCAAATCTCTGGATCGATCCGGAGTTATCGGCTGCAGAGGCCTTCAGAAAAGCCTTGCTGGCTGCAGAAGAAGAAGTTCCTGAAGGCCCCTGACAGCGAAAAGGAGGCCGGGGCCAACGCATGCAAGTGAGGTTAGTCAGTGGATGACATCCCCCCCGAGAATAAGACCTGGTGCCTTTTTTGGTGGCAAAACTATATATAAGACAGGGTCTTATTTGGGGGAAAACACGGGTAAATAAATACAAAATGATGCATAGATCCACATATATTACATGACATGGAGAAACAACACAGTTTAGTTTATCTCTCCAATCGATTACATGAACATGGCGAGAGAAACGAATCTTGCGAGTTTGCCAGATGGATGGCCGATGGCAGGAGTAGGAAAACTTGGCTCTTTTATCATTTATGGACTTCAACTCCCAGAATTCCTGAATGTGCCATAAAAGTTTCCCCATCCCTGGCCTACTGGTTTTTCAGTTGTAGGGGAAATCAATTTTTGACTTGAATGGGACTGTTTAATATACAAATGTAGCACAAATATGTGGGGCTACAAATATGTCCTACATTTGTATATTAAACAGTCCCATTCAAGTCAAAAATTGATTTCCCCCACAACTGAAAAACCAGTAGGCCAGGGATAGGGAACTTTTTATGGCACACTCAGGAATTCTGGGAGTTGAAGTCCATAAGTGATAAACGAGCCAAGTTTCCCTACCCCTGGCCTAGGGTAGTGGTGGCTAACCTTTTTGGAGTCCTGTACCAAAAATTGTGTGCGCGCTGGCGTGCGTGCGCTCACATGCCAGCACCCAGAAGGCAATGCATGCCTCCCTGTGCCCCCTGCGCATGTACGCGCAATCCCTCTCCCGCTGTCCCCTTACCTGCACTGCGCCTCACAGCTGATTTTCAGCTGGTTTGAGGCCTTTTTCGGCCTCCCAGAGGCTTGAAAAAAGCCTCTGCAGGCTTTGCAGGACAAATAATAGGCCCCATTTCATCACTTCCGGTATTACCGGAAGTGTAGCCTCTGGGAGGCCGAAAAAGGCCTCAAACCAGCTGAAAATCAGCTGTGAGGCGCACGCATGCATGCGTGTTTGCCTACGGCTCGTGTGCCAGCACAAATGGCTTTGCATGCCGTGTGCCATAGGTATGCCATCACGGGCCTAGGAAACAAAGCGATGATAGAACCTGGTAGTCCTGCTAGAAATAGAGCTACTCAATTTCATCTCTTATCAAATTAGGAAAACAATAATTTGCGAAGGGTCCCTTGCTTATAAAGGAAGGTTATTTAAAATGGATATTTTATAGTTGATGGATTGGGTTTGAGGTTGAGTTTCAGTAGCTCTCCGGAAACTCAAACTTTACCAGGCCTGGTTGTTAAAATCATGGGAGTCACGCCAGATGACAGACAACAGCTGGATATTGAAGGAGTTTGCGGGGGTGGGTGGGTTGCTCCCAGGTAGTCCTTGACTTACGACCACGGTCGGGATCCGAATTTCCATTGCTAATCGAAGCCCTTCCGAAGCGACTTGCATCTGATTTTACGATCTTTGATTTAAGCAAATCAAACTTAAGTGTGGTTGTTAAGTAAATCATGTTGGTTGTAAAGCGAATCCGACTTCTCCATCCTTTGCTTGTCGGAAGCCAACTGGGAAGGTCATAAATAGCAATCAGGTGACACCCGACATGCTGGGATAAATACACAACCATTACCAAGCACCCAAATTTTGATCTAGGGACTCTGCGACAGTCATCAATACGAGGACCGCTTGCAAGTCGCTTTTTCAGGGCCGTTGTAATTTCAAACCATTGCTAAATGAATGGTTGTAAGTTGAGGACTACCTTTTTTCTTTCTTTTAATGACCCTGTAATCCCTTCCATTGGGGTGGAATCAGGGCGATTGAAAGGAGCTGAGCGTTTACAGTCCGGATGCCTTTCCTGAACACCTACACAGTGCTCACAGCAGACAATTTTTACTCATTGCACCCAGAAAGAGAAATACCTGCCATAGAACCAAACTCGCAACCTCCTGATTATGAGCTCCACCTCTGGGCCACCACGCCGCTCACATTAAGGACTACCTATATCATCATCATCATCATCGTTGATGATTAATGACCCCATAATCCCTTGCAGGGTGGAGTTTGTGCAACTGAATAAAGTTAGTGACCACACCTCTCTGTCCTATGTGTTAAATTATATCACCATGTGTTTCCCCCATACTCCTAATATCCATGCGTTCCCTCATGATCATCTTCATTTACTTGTGGGGTGGAGTGAGAGCAACTGAACTGAGCTAGCTGAGTATTTACTGGCCAGATGTCCTTCCTGTTGCCAGTGCGGAGTTTTGTTCAGCAGATGTATTCTCATTGTGCCCAGAGAGAGAAATATCTGCCTCTACCTAGAATCAAACTCATAGCCTCCTGATTGTGAGGCGAGAGCTCCACCTCTAGGCCACCATGCCGGTCACATTAAGGACTACCTATAATACAGTCTTAAAATCCAACGAATGATTTTTGTTTTCATTTGTCGCTTGTTTTCCTACCTCGGCGGAGTGAGCATTGATGTTTTGTGCGTTGATTTCTTTTTTTCTAGGATCCAACCTGACCCATTATTTCAGCCACACCGCCCTCGCCAATAATCCCGCCCGGGCCCTTTTGTTAATCGGCGCCATCTTGTTGGCTTATTGGTTCGTGTCTCTTCTCCTCGGATTCTTCTTCTATCTCTTACACGTCCTGTGCGGGCGTTTCTTCTGGATCATCCGGATTGTCCTCTTCGCTCTTTCCTGCGTCTACATCCTCCAGAAGTACGAGAGTGAACCCGAACACGCCGTCCTTCCCCTCTGCTTCGTGGTCGCCGTTTACTTCATGACGGGTCCCGTAAGCTTCTACTGGCGGAGGAACAGCCACAACACCTTGGAGGAGAAGATTGACCACCTCGAAAGCCAGATCAGGCTTCTGAACATCCGCCTGTCCCGCGTGATCGAGAATCTGGACCGAGGAGGCGACTAGCGGGAAAGTCACCCTCCGCACGGGAGAACGGATGATCGCCACGTCTCCACGACGAGGTGGACTTTGGGGTAAAGGACGTGTGCGCCATCCAGCCGTTCATCTTTGCGCATAGCTTATCCATCCATACCCTGAACGAAACATGAATGAACTCATAAGATAGATTAGCTGTATGTTCAGAGATGTTTGCCACGAGTAGAATTTTATCTGCTGTTTTCCAAGCATTTGAAACATCTTTTTTATAAAAAAAAAAGAAAAAAATACGAGGGAGGGAGATTTGATAAAGGCCAATGGAGTCATTCGTCTCAAAACGAGGAAATTCCCTATAAACCTTATGCCGTTTTTACCTTTAGAAAGAAGGAAGGAAGCACGAATTCAACCTGAGAGAAACAGTTGTGAGGATCGGGTTTTTTCTTTCCTTTTTTCCATCTTGCCTTCAGTGATTGTTTCATTTTGTGCCTGGTTTTGTTTTTTTCATATAATTACAAAGGAAAAAATAAATTATTTGAGTCCGATCCGAATATGGTTCACCCTGAAATTTTGAAAGCAAGATGTTGCGTCTTTCAGATGTCGACCAGGAACATCAAAACTGCTTCTGTATTTTTTTTTCCTCCCATCAATTTCACTAAAAACAGGCCCTTTTTTAGCCTACACACAAACACACACACAAAACAGTCCACCTTCTTATAAAATAGTTGAGCTCCTCCTGCTGAATTCTTTTGGCTGTCCATGTTGGCTCATCGTCTTTGGTGCAACTTAAGTAAAAGACCTTGAGGAAGAAACTGAGTGTCAGTCAGATAATATTAACTGGGGTGCATAACGGCAGAAGAGAAGCTGGCTTTTCAGAATGGAAGTCACATTTCTATCAAAATTACACGTTGCCTGAAAAAAAAGAGAGAAAGGCAGAAATAACCCCAAGCAGCCTCAGTTTGACTCATTTTTAAAACACCGCAACCACGATCGGTGACAGGTTTTAAAAGCGTTGCCAAAAGAAAAGCAAAAAAAAGAAAAAAAGTTGGGATATCATACGGGAATCTATTAGCATTAACGTGGCAAGTCAACTTCAGAAGGATCTATTTATTGAAAAAATATTTTTTTAATCACAATGGATAATATGGAGGGGGATGATTGTGTTCAGTCCTTAAAAAAGCGGAGTGGCTAATTTGGTTTGCCACGAAAAAAATTGCCCAAGTGACCATTTGAAGTTCATGGTGTAAATGGGACCTGCAAAGTAGTAAACTATCAAGGGCCAAGTTTCAAAAATTAACTTTTTCCCCCCACGTGTTTCTAACCTCAAAAAACACGTAACTCTTTTTTGCTTGAAGACCTATTCCGTTCATTTTCCTGAGAAAAAACTGGAAGCTGTGGGAAGAGTTAGCAGCTCCTGGCCTTGTGATCCCCCTTTTTTCTGCGTGCCTGTGGAAATGACATTATAGACTTGTCAAAGCTTGTGAGTTACTAAAAGTGTCTCCTTCCTTCCAGGAAAAAAAAAACCATTTTTTCAAGGTTGCCACTGAGTCCCAATCGTTCCCGAAGGAAGATCCTCCAGAAAACAGAACTACCGCTTTTCTTCAGCGATTGAATTCTTCAAATAAAAGAACAAAGATTCGCGATTTTTATTCTTGCAGAATAAAGAAAAGGCAACCTGGAATTGAGAGAATGTTGGTTAAAATAAAACTCCCTCCTTTAAATTGGCTTCCCATTAGTGGTGATGCAGGAACTAGTAAAAATATATAGATGTATATGTATAAATAGATTTGATATACACAGCATTTTGTTTTGTATAAGGCTATAGTTTAAAAAAGAATATTATATATATATATATATACATACACACACACATATATGTTTTCTTAAGTTTTCGCGGGTATTTATATGTATGGTATTCAGCTTTATTCGGGTATTTTCCCATGTCATTATAGTTGTGCTTTTAAAGTTGTAGCAACGTTTCGGCA